CCCGTCCAAGCGACCGGATATCACATTTCACCTCTACAGCTTGCCTTCGGGCGAATTCCGAAACTCTCGCCGATTTGCTGCAGGTTTCATCCTGAAGCTTCAAATCCCGAAGCCCTGAGCATTTCTGGTCTTGGGGGCAGCATTTAAGAAATTGGATAAGAAATTGGGTGTCGGGGGTAGGGGACCCTGAATTTCTTATTTCCTTTTGCTTGCTTTTCTCAGATTTTAGTATAGGTCCGCGCAAGTTCAGGGGCTGGTTTCTTAATTCAATGTTTTCTTATTCGGTGCTGGCGCTGTAGCTTAAACCCTAAACGCTGAACCCAAACCGTAAACAAAGGCTCAACCCTGAACACTAAAACTCCCGGGTGTAAGCTTAGGCTTCAGGGTCTAGAGGCTAACTTCTGATCCTGAGACTCAACTCCATAGGATGCCCTAAACCCTAAACCCTAACCCCTAAACCCTATACCCTAAACCCCTAAAACCCCTAAAACCCCTAAAACCCTAAACCCTGAAACCCTGAAACCTTTAAAACCCTAAATAGCCCCAAAGCCCTAAAACCCTAAACCCTAACCTTTACACTCGCAAACCTTAAAACCCTAAAACCCAAGAAATCTTAAACAGCCCTAAACCCCTAAAGCCCTAAGCCCTAAACCCTAACCCCTAAGCCCCTACACCCCTAAACCCCTAAACCCCTAAGCCCTAAACCCTAGCCCCTAACCCCTAAACCCCTAATCCCTAAAACCCTAAAACCCTAAACCCCTAAACCCCTAAACCCTAAACCCTAAGGGTGATGGTCCTGCCTCTTCCAAGGATTTCAAAGTCTCGGCCAGGTCCTTCGCCTGTCTGGGCTTGGAGTCTACTGGGGTTTTTCGGGTTGACCCGAAACCTAAAGCAAAGAACCTACCTTTTTAGGTTTAGGGTTTAGGGTCTAGGGTTTTGGGTTTAGGGTTTAGGGGGTTCACTACTATGATTTATTTCCAAAAGTCCTTAAGAAGGGTAGGTTACTTGGGGTTAAGGCCAGGCTTCGGCTGACAAGTTTTACATGCAGCAGATCTCCCCAAGGCCCTACCAGGGTTTTACTCTTGATTGGGGTTTCGGGTTTAGGGTTTAGGGGTTTAGGGGTTTCAAGAATTGCCTGTATTAGTTTTGGGGTTCCTTACTACACGTATAGTATAAAGGGCCCCAACACCCTATTCTAATTATTAAGGCCCCTACATTACCTGGCCCTGTCGCAAACGAGAGCCCCAAGGCATGTCTCTTGGCTGAGGCCCCTCTGAACTCTACACCACAAATACTAAAACCTAAAGCCGTAAAACCACCCCCTTCCCAAAAACCCTAAACTTGCGTTGTGCATTTTATGTAGTTTTCTGTGGCAAATTCGGATCTGTGGCTTTGGGTTCACGAGATGCAGGCCAAGAGGGTCATACAGGGGACGACATAGCTCACAACAACTTGTTTACATGGCTCCTTGACGTTTGTCAGAGTACGGTTGATGATGTAGATCCTGCATTACCCATAATTTAAGGAATATACCATAACTCCCTTAGTCTAGGGTCCTGGAGGTGATGCAGGATTTATATCATCAACAATAGCATAGAAAAACTACTCAGGCGCTCGCATTAGGCTTAGTTCCCTGTGTTGTGTTTGATATGCAAGGATACTGACTATGCTACCCCAGATAACTACTCAAGTACTCCATTGCAGGGTGCAGGACTGATCTCAAGACTAAGAAGTAGAGTAGAGTCAACTGAATTCTCGCGAGACTGTGTGGGCTTAGAGATGATGGGGATTCCCTACACTTTATCTGAAGTTCATGAAGAGAGTGATGAACCAATCTTTTGGAAAGGACTATTTTGCAGGCGCGGGGGTTGCAAGGGGTTCCGGAATATACTTGCGACGATCGCAAGAACTATAATATTTCTAAGGATGTAGTCCTAACCCTCTCGTCTATAATAGCAGGACACAACAAAGCCCAAACTTTCTACGATAGACCAAACATATAAGGCCGACAAAATATGCAATGTAAATTTTGTCCCATGGATTGGATGTCTCAGCTACCAGAACATGAGGACCGAGCAAGTTCAACATGCCTCCTGGTGTGATCACGGTTGCTGTCTGTCAGCATCACAGAAAGAATCTACAATGAGGGGAGTGCCCTCCTTAAGGGCACCTAGACCCTAAACCTTAAAGGAAGGAACCCCTAGCCTAAGGGACCCTAAACCCCAAAAGGAACCTTAAGGGACCCTAAACCATAAAGGAACCCCTTAAGGCCTGGAGCTGGCTCAGATGAGAAACCCTCAACTTCGCAGCCATGGACGTTGGAGCGTCCAACTGCCAACAGATATGTCATATTCGTGTGTAGCATTCCCTAAACCTTTACAGTTGCCCTGACAAGCTGACCTCACAGGCACGGCAAAGCCTAAACCCTAAACCCTAAACCCTAAACCCTAAACCCCAAAGCCTGGAAATAGACCTCACGAGCCCCAAGGGTCCAAGTACCTAATCAACGGTTTAGGGTTTCGGGTTTTACACTCTCCAAAATCCTAACCTACATAACTACTATCCAAAAACCAAGGGCCTAGTTATTGGGTCCTTTGGACCCTTACCTATAGTCTCCAATGTAGTTCCCTTTTTTGGTTTAACCAAATTTATATTAAGGATTTTAAAAGGTAACCCCCAAAAAGGAACTACAACGGAGACTACATTATAGAAACCCTTATAAATCCCTTTAAGGGACCTTTTTTAGGAGAAGAAAGGGAGTGGGCGCCTCGCGGCTGCCAGAAAGCTGGAGATGCGTCAGGGCAGTCTCGAGGCGAGATTGCCGCGCCTGAAGACATCAGGGCTTCAGGGTTCCTTAAGGACCAAATGACCCTTAGGGTTTAGGGTTTAGGGTTTAGGGTTTAGGGTTTAGGGTTTAGGGTTTAGGGTTTAGGATTACTTGGAGGGTCGGGGGACTTGCTAAGTGGGTAATAAGTAGACTTATAAGTACCCTAAAAGGGATCCGAATTGGGGTTATGATACTTATAACTCTATAAAATAACTACTTACTAAGTCCCCCGACCCTCCAAGTAAGGACCAAATGACCCTTAAACGTTGCGGCCCTATACCCTAATCCTTTGAATCCCTAGATGGTATATGAACCCAAAGCTCTTTAGGGTTCATTTCGTCTTGAAGGTTTGGGTTGCTGGCAAGAACCAGAATACGGTTGTTGATATCAATCCTGCATTACCCATCATAAGGAATATACCAGACCTCCCATAGTCTAGGGTCCTTAAGGTAATGCAGGATTTATATCATCAGCCGTAGTAATTCCTCTTATCGAAAGCAATGGGGAAACCCTAGCGTGTACGATGTAGGCACTCAGGGCTCTCTGCAGGTTGGGCCTTTAGTTTGCCTGGGGTTCAGGGGTTAGCATTCTCTGCGTGGAGGCCCAGGGGACTTAGTAAGTCGGATATAAGCAGCATTATAATTGGGTAATTCCAGTTAGGTATGACTCTACTTAAAAACCTACTTACAAACCCTAAACCCTAAACCCGAAACCCCAAACCCTAAACCTACTAAGTCCCCTGGGCCTCCAAGAGGTTCAGGTGCAGGGACACGGTAGGGCACACATACGTCATGGCTATGGCATTGGGTCTAGTTCGGGATCGGTGTTTTGGGGTCTCTATCGGTGCACCTTGTGTAACCAACTGAATTGGGCCAGACTGCCGTCAACTTCTAACTTTTAACCAGCAAGGATTATGAAGGTTCAATCAGTCCCAGGCACTTCATGCCACGATTGCTGAGTTTAAGGTGGAGAGGGGCCCTCCCTCACTCCCTCCCTCCCCCTTCCTTTCCGGAACAGAAAACTGTCCAAAAGGCTAAAACAGCCAGCAGGCCTTCGGAAGCTGTACAAGCACGACTTACGGCAACCTGCAAGCCTACACCCGCACTCTGAACAGAGGATGGCGAGCTCTCTATCTCAGTGTGAGCCCCGAACCGTTCACTGTTTAGGGTTTAACCTGGATGGCGAGTTCACTATCTCAGTGTGAGCCCCGAACCGTTTACTGTTTAGGGTTTAGCCTCAAAAGCGTAAAAACGTATAACGTAAGCCCTAAATCTTGACAAAGTCAAAACCTTAAGTTCACGCAAAAGCTTGATAAATCCTCGGCCACAAATGCTCGAACCGTAAAATCTCAACTCTGAACTCTCGTGACCTTGATTTTCATTGGTTTGGGGCTTCATGGAGGTTCCTGGCCTCCGGCTTCCAGAAGTCGCCCTCGTCTCTGCTGGCATCGTTAGCCAAAGCCTTAGAACATCGTAATTCAAGACATTAAAATTGGAACAGGGTTTGGGGCATATTATACTGAAATGATAATAAGGAGCCCCCAGAATAGTATTGGTACTTGTTAAGGTGCCTTTATTCCTCGGGATCTTCAGCGGTATGGGTTGAAAGCTGGTCTCTTCTATTCGCAGGGATGCTGGAGGCCAGTTGCCACCACCAAGGGTGGCTCCAAGAAACATAACAATATGCAGGTTGAGGCAGTTTATCCTACAGACTCCAACTCGATTTGGCTCACAACTTGGCGAAGCCAAACAATCCGTAACCAACATCGAGCAGCAATTCGGGATTGCATCTTCAAGTGCGAGCAACAAAAACTGACAGCGCGGAACTAACACTGACCTGAACCATGAACCATAAACCCCCCAATCCCTAAACGGCCCTAAACCTAAACAAACCCACAAAAGAGGGTCATGAGTCCGGTGCTCTCCGACAGTAGGAAGGAGGTCAACCCGAAACCCTACGTAATATAGAGGCCTTGCTAATTAGAACCGGGTATCGGGTTATGATGTTGTATATGTGGAAGTACAAATGCTATAAGTATAAGCCTACATTTGAGGAACCCTAAAGACAAAACTATCACACAATATCCCGACTCAGTTCCCTACATTACGCAGCCCCCAAACAAATCCTAATCTCGAACCCCGAGTCAGCTATAACCAGAAAGAAACCACCGCGCCAAGGGACGCTCAAGATTGGGCTCACCATTTATAGGGTGTAGGGTCTAGGCTTTAGGGTTTAGGGGCGGGGATCAGCAAAATTGTCGCAATTTAGGTCTTAGAGGGCCTGGGTCCCGGTTTCCCAACAGAAGAAACCCTGAACCCCACCTCCTGGACCCTGAAGAACCTACCTCTTTAAGGACTTGAAATCTTAATAAGGGGCCCTAACAAGGCAGGCCCACATTTCTATAATTGTAATTAGGAACCCCCAAAATACGAGTGTTCATTATTTAGGCCCCTAAACCGTGTCTTGGGGTTAAAGTGAGCTCTACGACGATTTCGGACAGGAAGCCAAAGAGCTCCTGGCGAGGTTGAAGTGGGCGGCTGGAAACCTCGGCTGCCCCAGGACAAACGGGGGCTTCGGCTGTGGGGTTTAGGGTTTAGGGTTGAGGGCTTAGGGTTTAGGGTTTAGGGCTTAGGGCTTAGCGGTTTTCGGGCTTAGGCCTACGATTTCGAGTTCCGGGTTGAGGGTTTCGGCTATAGGGGTTGGAATTCTTAGGAATGAGGACTCCTGCTTGTGACATAATGCTTTGTGAAGTATCCCCCAAAACGGTACCTAGGACCCTTTGGGATTATAAGACACCGCGAAATCCGGTCCGGAGGCCCAGGCCATTTGAAACCCCCAACCCTTAACCCTAGGCCCTAAACCCAAAACAGCCCAAACCCCTAAGCACGAAACCCTAAACCCCAAACCCTGGACCTTAAGCACTATACCCTCCACCCTAAGCCCAGCCCAAACCCCTAAGCACTAAACCCTAAACCCCAAACCCCAAACCCTGAACCCTAAGCACTATACCCTACACCCTAAGCCCTAAACCCTATCAACCCTAAACTCTATTGTAAGCACTATAAGAAACCGCGAAGCTCGGTCCGGAGGCCCAGGGCATTTTCGTAGGCTGCCAGGGCCTGTCTTTCGCGCAGAGGCCGGCGGAGACCCGAAACCGTTTCGTCTCACCTAATGTAGGGGCCTTCATAATTAGAATAGGCGTTTGGGGCCCATTGTATTACAATTATACAAAGGAACCCCCAACATGATATCTGTACTTACTAAGGCCCCTGTACTAATTTTCGGAGGCTGGAAGATGTGGGCTACACTCATCGTATCATGAAGTATACTCTAGTATATCTCAGTATACGGTGGTCTCTGCTAGTATATTCTAGGAATGCACGCCAGGGGTTGTTCAGGAACTTTCCTTCTGAAGCTCAGAAGCTCGAGCCGTCAGAAGCTTCAGAGCTTCACCTTCTTGCGAACCAACAGGGCCGGTCGCTCCATTTTAGTATGTTATAGTATGTTGTAGTATAGTGTAGTATCGTATCGTAGGCTACAGTATAGTACAATATGGCACAGTATAGTATAATTTGTCTTTTGGGATCGTAAACGGCTTAGCCGCTGAAGAGCTTTATGGTGGCATATCCGGGATGTCCCTGAAATAAGGATTTGTAAATGATTATGGTGCGTTCGGAGTGTTTTTAATGGAGGTCTGTAAAAATGTGGCAAGCCCCTTAGCCTTCAATCAACAAAGGCTCGGCAGCTCGCACCTATGCGGCACACATCCCGTAAATTACCATGGAAACCGTTTGATATCTGCAATCAGCAAAATCCCAGGAACCCTACTATACAGCTGCCAAAACCCTCCTGTAACCCAGTTTACTGAATACCCTAAACCCTAAACAGAGGCACTTAATTTCAAAACCCTAAGCCCAAAACACAAAGCTCTACCTTATGTCGCCAACTGTATGTCTTGGGCCTTGTGGATCGACTCCAAACAGCGGTAGTTCAGAGTTTTTCGCTAAGACATAGCTGGACAAATCTACAACTTGAACTGATGTAGGAATTTCGTCTGTAACCTAAGACGGATAGTTCTACCTTTTTGAGATAGTTATAACTATCAATACCAAAATATGTACCCTAAACCCTAAACCCTGAACCCTAAACTTAAACCGTGAACCCTAAACCCTAAACCCTAAACCCTAAACTGGTTTGGGAGTCACTGGGTTCTGTGTTTGTGCTGCCGCGTAGATAACGCAGTCGTCTCGGACTCCGTTGCTCGATATGGTGTCGAACTTGAATCATTGAAGATTGGGCGACCAGCAAGCACCACAATAAGGAAGTCATTTAGAGTCGCCTTTGGGGGTATATTCTGATACAAATATCTTAGGGAACACTAAGAAGTAGTCCTCCCATAAGTTCAGGCCCTAATATATTCCATCACAGGCGAGAGTGCAGCTTTTAGGAACGACTCAGAACGTTTTAAGGTTAGTTTGTATGGTTCATTCTGCCGCCGGGTTTCAGTTTTTAAGTGGTTAAGGATGCAGGGCACTAGGGGAGAGGGTTTAGGGTGTTGTATTTTTATCCCTAAACCCTAATGGTCATCAAGACATTCACGGAAAAGAGCGTCGAACAGCCTTGAAAGCCCTATAGGCAACCAGATTCGACACGCTCATGTCCCAAATGGGTTTAGGGTTTAGGGTGGAGCCCGAAAAACCCTGGCCCCTAAAGCCTAAAACCGCAAATTCTGCATCCTATGTTAACCCTCCTCTCTACAGCTCCTGGCCATTCGCATGCAAATATGTTTGGGGCTTCGGTGGTTTTAGGGTCTTCGAGCCTTACATTCCCACACAAACCCTGTGAACCCCGGCATAGGTTTTTCTAATCGAACTTCCTGCGGGGGTTCCATCAACTAAATAAAACTACCAGTAGACTTAGAATAACGACCGTAAACAAGGAATCTAGCTGAAGTCCTGTCAAGAACCCATATTTAACGTAAGGCATCATGCTAAATGACAGATTTTATGACGGTCATGGCCCCGTAATGATAGGGCATGTGCGTGCTTGGAGCGACTAAACCCTCAATCCTAAACCTTGGACCCTGAACCCTTTCAGATCCTTCCGAAATCCCCGAAAGGCCCCTCATAGAATCCTCGCAGAACCCTTACTTAAAAGAACCCTTACACAACTTTAAACCCTAAACCCTCAACCTCACTGTGGCCTCATGATGCCGGCTCTGAGCACTCAGAGCTGTTCCAAGGTTGTAGTGCAACCTTAGCATTTAAGGTTTTAGAGTTCGGGTCGAAGGCGATAGTTTGAATTTTCCATAGCCTGGATGTGATAGGGTCTTTAGAATCTGTATACTAGGCTCTATATGTGGCCTACATTGGCCTACATAAAATACATCTAGTAGCGTTAGGCGAAGCTCTAGACCCTAACCCTCGATCGTGCAAGCATAGCTTGGTAACCCTAAACCCTAAACCACGGGAACTAGAATCCCGGAGCAGAGGCACGGCGAGTTTATTTCAGGGGCGGTAATAGTTAGAGTAGGTTTTTGGGGGTTCCTTTAAAGGGTTCCTTAAAGGGTTCTATGAGGACTACTAGAAGGGTTTAGGGTTTAGGGGCCTTAATAATTACAATGGGGTTTTGGGGAGGCCCATTATACTACAGTTAGAGTAAGGAACCCCCCAAAAAATAGTATTGGTAATTGTCGCCTAAACCCTAAACCGTACATTTTGGGAGTTCGAGGATCAGGGACGAGGTCCTAGAATACGATGCCAAGGGTGGTGTACACTAACAAAGGCAGTACTTACTTCCTATAGTATAGGGGCCTAAATCATTACCTATACTATTTTGGGGGCTCCTCATTATGATTATAGTACAATTTACACCAAAAACCCTATTCTAATTATTAAGGCCCCTACAGTACTCGAAGCGATGCTGACATCACAAGAATCTCACAAGACCATGCCGCGCACCGCCCCTCCACAGTGGAAAAATACAGAAAATCAACCAGCACCACAAAACGAAAGACCCTACGATTCGGGATTCCATCAAACAGCCCTTTGTGCGGAGTTGTCGCGTGAGATTCATGAGTCTGCAAGAATATTTGGCTCGGAATCGACATGTCGTAAAGACTGGTCCTAAACCCTAAACCCTAAACCCTAAACCCTAAACCCTAAACCGCTAGTTGGCATGCCCAGTACAGTAGCAGCATAAACACGCGGAGACCAGAGAGGCAAGCGGGGATCATTGAGGCCAATACACTGCACACGTCTGAGACTACCTCAATACACCCGAATCGCACCCAAAAAAGCTCTAACCTAAGCCCCCAAACCGAGAAGCCGAAAGTCCCACCTGAAACTTGCAATGCCTACTGTAGGGGCCTTCATAATTAGAATAGGGTTTTGGGTATAGTATACTATTTTAAAGGAAGCCCCAAAATAGTACAGGTAAGTATTAGGGCGCCCAAACGTGTTACAACCATAACTTTCGCTGTTTATGTGGAACCTACAACGGCTAGATCAGGAACGTTGTCAGGAACAATGTCACAGAACTCCATACTCGATGCTCTACAGAGGTATAAAGCCCTGCACTCACTTGAAATCTCCCAAACCCAGCAGAAAAGCAAAAGCTCAAACCGTAAACCCTGTAAGCGCGAAAGCAACAAAGCTGCCTAAACAAGCAAACCCTGCACCCATCAAACAAAAACACAGCCACAACCGATTCCCTGCTTGGGACACCGGCCAAGTAGCTCGGCGCGGTCGGGCGCAAGGGACGCGGCTTCTCGCAAAGCTTCGGTGGCCTCCTCTGGCTTATGGCACTGGGGCGTTAAGGTTTACGGGCTTATGGCTTAGAGCACTAAGGGTCCATGGTTTAGGGCTTAATGCTTGATGTACTTAGGGTCTTGGTTTGTTGGGATTTATAGCCTAGTGGTTTAGTGAAAACTGTTGGATTTCAGAAGAGGTTTGCATGTCTTTCACGCCTTAGGATTTGGGGTTTGCCAGCGTGCGGAATGTCGATGCAGCAACATGACTACCTGACCTATAACCCTGAAGCCTTAAACCCGTAAGCATTGTCCGCAGAACTACGACTAAATACGAACCCAACAGACCGCGATAACACGACAAACGAAAGTCATAAGTACACGGCAACAATCCCCAAATCTTTGGCCCGTTCAAACCAAGGTATTCGCGATCATACATTTTAAGGATTGAAACTGAAAATCCTGACACCTATCCCCCAAAGGCTGAACTCCTGTTCTGGAGCGGTGGCAACTCGTCTCGTTCTGTGCACAATGAATGCAAGAGGACTCCCTTGCATCCGAAACACCACTGCTCCTACAGGCCACGCTTTACCCAACACAAAACACGTAACAAGTTACTCCGAGGCATGTACGAGCTTCAAATCCCCGACAAACACCCTGATGCTGTCGATGCTACATTGCGACATGATGCACGGAATATTGAAACAGCACCTCGGACGATGATTAGTAACATGCCCCACGACAAGTACCCGCTCAACTTTTTGAAGCAAAAACATGGCTAGACCCGTCTGTCTCTCGGCACCGTGTCTCCTCATACCGGTGCTCGTCCATCAGTGCCACAGCCATCGAGTTCTTCAAGTCCGGCAGAGGGAACTTGCTGAGCAAGCCCTCGCTGTCAGGATGCAAACCCTCAGAGCCATGCACACAAGCTTCTTGTAACCAGTCGGTTAAGGTGGACCTTCTTAAACGACGAATCCTGGCAGCCTCAATCCCGATCATACTATGTTTCGTTGTGCAAAAATCATCCAATCTCCACCACAGCAGGAGCGACAGCTTTGTAACGCACTACAATCCTACAGAAGCGATGGCCCGAAATGCCAAAGCTCAAACCCTTACCTTCAAACCACTACAGGCTAATATAGAAGTCTGAACATTGATGAACCGTATCGATGGGCCCTATATAAACCCTAGACCCCCACCTGAAATTCTATTAAGCGCCTTTCACGTTTGCAACATCCAACGAAAAGATTGAAACTGATTCCCTGTTGGCCCTAAACCCTAAACCCTAAGCCCTGAACCCTAAACCCTAAACCCTGAACCCTGAACCCCGAACCCTGAACCCTAAACCCTAAACCCTAAACCCTAAACCCAGGGCCAGCCTCGAAAGCTGGATTCATCGGCGAAGAGCCGGTAGCATTCACGGAGAAGCCGAAGGATGGGAAAGCCTAGGAAAAGAGCTTTGGCTTTTAAGGGGGGTGTAGTGGTTTAGGGTTTTGGGGGGGTTTAGGGTTTAGGGTTTAGGGTTTAGGGGTTAGGGGTTAGGGTTTAGGGTTTAGGGTTATAGTGCTCTGGGGCTTTAGTATAGGGATCTAGGGCCCTTCGGGTTTCCAGATTTCGGAAGTAGGGGCTCCACGACCTCGAACTCAATGCGCAAGACAGTAAGCTTGAGGCTGAGCACTACAGTTGATGATATCAATCCTGCATTACCTTAGGGACCTTAAACTATGGGAATTACGGTATATTCCTTATTATGGGTAATGCAGGATTTATATCAGCAACCGTAGGAGTCTTTTGGGGTTGCTCTTGTGATAAACCTTTGCGTAGCTCGTGGCGGCAGGGGAGGATGGTCATCAGCTGCTGGCATGGCAGCGACTACTGCCTACGACGACTACGACGACGATGACTAACAATACGCTTACGACGACGACTGCTGCTGGTCCTTTTGCTGCCGCTGCTGCTGTTGCTGACATCACTGCCGCAACCATCGCCACGTGCCACCACCAAAACAAAACACTAAACCCTAAACCAATCCGAACCAACCCTAAACCCTAAACCCTAAACCAATCCGAACCCGCCAACCCGAAACGAAACCTGAAAAGGGTGGCAGTGATGCTACATAAAACTCTTAAGCCACACGAACCTGCATTAAAAAAAAGAAGCTAGAACAACCCTCAAGCCTTGCCCCCCCCCCGAAGAAATTGAAGCCTCAGCCCTCTAAACTCTCAACCCCCCCAAACCAAAAACAAAGCTACCTTAAGCTACCAAAACCTACCTTTTTTGTGGGGCCGTGGGGCCCCTATCAGGTCACACGTATGTAAATGGCCACGTGGGTTTTCGCAACGAGCGTTGAATTAGAATGTGTTTTTTTATCCCACACCTGCCAGCAAAATTTAGCAATGTGTATTTATGCTTGTTGAAGGGACTATGTAGGATCATCCTGCCTTGAAACTTAGGGCGTTGCTGTAAATACCGGTGTCTTGGGCATGGTCGCGAAAGGCATGGACGCTTGTGATAGATTTTATTGTTTCACATCCTTGTGCAGTATGTTGTACAAAGAGGCGAAAACGCTGT